GAAAGAGGCAGTGAGATATCTTCAAATTATTATTTTTTCCTGATTTATTAATATCTTATTACTCTTGCACTTCTAATGTGGAAAAGTTAAAAACGTAAACCTCACAACATCTGCTTGGAGATGAGCCAGGTTGGTACAGAATTATATATAAGTGCAAGAGAAAAGACGTTGAAGATTACAGTATTAAAAATGTACTTGGTTGTCTCACCTTGTTACCTATGGCCAGAGCGAGTTCCAAAGCTTTCTTGTTCATCTCCATCCCCTGTAGGTAAGTGTCATGCTGTTAGATTAAACTTGACAGTATCGGTTAGCTACAGAAGTACATCTAAATCGTCGGAAACAGCTGAAATATTGGCACAAATGAAGATTTTTCCGAGGAAACTGGTCATCGTAGACATCTATCTGACATTACACTGTAACTGACATTTTTCGACAAATCTGTCTAATTAAATCCTTTTTTCAATGCTGACCTCTGACCTGACATTACACTGTAACTGACATTTTACGACAAATCTGGGTAATTAAATCATTTTTCAATGCTAACCTCTGACCTAGGTCAGGGGTCAGGGCGGCAATATGGCGGTTTTCCACTGGAGGTTCGACCAATTTTACGTAAGTTTTCCTTTAAAAACTATGCCTGTTTATTAAACTATCAACTCATACATTTCCAGAACTATGTACCATCAACCGAACTATACTTGTATGTATTATAACATTAAATTGGCGATTTTTATCAACTTGAAATGTCAGTTAATGTCGTGGGTACAGAAGTTTCCTACCTTTTCAAACTGCTTGTTCATGACCAGTACTTTGGCCATTCCCGACAGCACTTGCACTTGTCCATAACGGTCCCCAGTCTCTACCATGATGTTCAGGGAGGCTTCATATCTGGGATAGGCTCGCTAGAAACATGGGTAGAACATTTGCTTTGACGCCCATACAATGTAGAGTTGTTCAATTAGCCTCTACCAGGCTTCGGGAGACGGCTGGAAAAAGTAGAAATCGGTCAAATAGAGAGATACAGTAACATGCCGAGGGAGTTGGTCCGCTAGAGAGTACGTTCGGGTGCGGCAAAATGTACTCTCGAGCGGACCAACTCTCTCGACATGTTATCTCTCTATTTGACCGATTTCTACTCTTTCTAGCCGTCTCCCGAAGCCTGGCAGAGGCTATTATTTAATTGTTGTTATTGTTGTTGTTGTTGTTGTGAGAATTACACATTCGCGGCACTTCTTGCTTAGCCAAGCCGAGAAAATATGAGAAAGTTGAATAGGTAGAATATCATACTGTTTCCAGGGCCTACACAGGTCAGCTCTTTGGCTTCACTGCCAACATATCTCCTAAAAAAATTTACTCAACGATTCGCTTTTCTTTCGCAAAGCGTAGAAGAGATTAAAATGTTAGCCTGGGTGCCAGACTGTTATCAGGGCCTACACAGGCACGTTCCTCGGCTCCAGGAACTTTTACCACAGCCTGCAAGATGGATTTAGCACCTTGCTAGCTCTGTAATTTGTTAAGATTTACCACGGGACCTGAAAACAGTCTGGCATCCAGGCTAGAGAAAGTTTGAAGTACCTCGATGTCGCCCCTGTTTCTGTGAATGTCCGCAAAACACCTGAGACACTCTGCCTGAGACGGCCGGTCGCCTTGGTGAAGGGCTATCTTCATGGCATCCTGGGAACGAGATGGGAAAAGATGACTCTGACAGGTCTCAAAAACCTTCAATATGCAGAGAGAGAGTTTTGAGATTGCATAGAATATAAACATTAAAAACATTGAATTGTAGGCTCTCCCACCAGGCTTCGGAAGCGGCTGGAAAGAGTAGAAATTGGCCAAATATACTCATGGTATGTTATCTGTTTATTTGACCAATTCCAGCCGCTTCTGAAACCTGGTAGAGGCTATGTATTTGTATTATGAATCGTATATTGCAAGAGACACTTTACACACTGTAAGAATATTGGACACTGAACAAGATTTCCTGAGAGGGGTGAAAGAGGCTATTTATATTTATAGGGCCCATCACCCTTCACTCAACCGCGACGGGGGCCGACATCGTCTACCAGATACCATTGACGTCACACTTCAAAGAAGCCATGTGACAAGCCTCACTGGGTCAGTCTACTGAGGAAGACCAGAGTGACTGGTCGAAAGCTCTAGGTGAGATGACTTCTTTGTGTTGGACCTAACTTTCAAGTCTTGTTCAAAGTTATTCGAATTTGCCATCTTCAAACTGTTCCTTTCGATTGTCAAACACTAAACTGCAAGGTATACGTAGCCAACCAGATGGATCCTTTTAGGGCCTAGAAGAAAATTTTCCATCTTCAAACTGTCCCATCCGATTGGCTAACACAGCGCTACCAGACCGACCATTAACCAACCAGATGGATCCTTTCAGGGACCTAGAAAATCACTCCGCTTTGATCAGACACATACATGTACCTCCATGTGTATGTTTGTTTACGGTAATGCCTACAATTAGACGGGGCCGTGTATGATCGAGGCAGGGGGGGGGG